ATGTAACTCTCGCGCAAACGCTTGATGAAATTCAATGCAATACCAATGATGACGTACACACACACACACACGGTATAAATTGATATTCCGAAGCGAGTGTTATTTATCCATCGGCATCGCGATATCAGGAGGTACAGCTTACGAAAGAGAGAGCGAGTGTGTGTAACTTGTTGCTCCCTTTCTCTCTCCCTCACTTGCAATCTATAAAACTCTTGCTTACCGGATGGAATGTAAAAGTAGGGGGCAAAGTTGCCCTTTGAAGGACAAAGCATATATATGTATATACGTACACGTTCAATCGTAAAAATCAAAAATAAAAAGTTTCACAAATTCACACCACCATACGTAATGTGTGTAGGTAGGCGGATCGGTATGATGTTGACTCTACATCTTCGAAGCCGATGAAAAACAAACGCGTGGAGCTCGCGCGAGCAAACAACGCGAAAATCAAAAGCTAACGCGGCTCCTGTTCTGCACCCGCCCTCGTTCTGCCTTCTCATTGCGGTACGCCCACGCGAGCGAGTCACCCACACACACACTGGCTAAAACTGGAAGAAGAAAAAAAATACCCCCCCCCCCTCCATCCGACGTTTCGGGCGTTTCGAGCATCGGAAAAGTTATAAAATAATCCAGTCGAGTGAGATACCTGCGATGCAAAAGGGCCACAAACAAACAACATAGTCGTATGTCTTACCTGGGCGTGACTTTTGGCCTCACTGGTGTCTCATGTTACACGCTCGGCCGGGCGCTCCTGCACTGCGCCGAGTCCCAACGTGATACAACCTCCTCCTCCTCTTTTATGAGTCGGTGGAAAAAAAAAAAGAAAAAAAGAAAAAAAAAGTCAGAAAGTCCTCTGTCGCTCTCGAGACTACACTTTCGCGACAACAGCTGTGTGTTCCCTCAGAGGTGCATGTCAGGCGTCGTCCCTAGTCCCATGGAAACGCGAGCGACGAGGACCTCGTGTAGCCCGAGCTCGACGAAGCTGTGCCACCGACTGTCGCCGCGAGCCGATACCTCCCCCCCACCACCACCACCTCCCAGTACAGAGAGGGTGGTCGGATAGAGTGTATAGGTATACACGGGGTGGCTGCTGATGATGATGGCGCTGGGGTGGCAGCTATATACACGGGGAAGGGCAAACGCGTTGGATTTCAAATCGATCGGCCGCTCTGTGTGCGCTACTCCCTTCCTCCCTCCCTCCCCCGCCCCCCTCTCTCTCTCCCTCTCTTCGCGGCGTACAGGAACATATACATATATATACACTCACAGCCGGATAGTGCTACATATATACGGCTACTGGGGGTATAAGAATAAGGCACGTGTACACAATGCGTAATTGCGCTGTTTCCTCTCTCCCTCTGCCATTTTTTTTTTCTTTGTACCTAGGCCTTCGGCGCCACCCCTTGCACCCCTGGCTGCCTTTTTACTCGTGCCTTTCCGTGCTTTACCTTTTCTTTTTTTTTTTTTTTTTTTTTCCTCCTGAGCTCTGGTATAAATATAGAAGATCGAGGACTTGAGTTTTCATCAATTGCGGCGCTTAGGAGATAGAGAGGAGGGGGGAGATAACGAAGCCAGATGAGATGGGGGATAATATCGAATGCGTGCTTTTTCTTTCGTTTGCGCTTCGATCTCTTGTACATACGTGGGTTACACACGGGCTATTTGTATAAATCTTCAATTTTTTTTTTTTTTTTTTTTTCTTTCTCCGTTCGACATTAGAACCTTGATTGTTGACTTTTACGTAAAAACATTTCGGTACTTCTCGATCAGTTTAGAGGTGACGTATATATATATATTTGTGTGTACATTCCATTGTGGTCGGATATTCGTTTTTTTTTAAGGACATTCTTGTTTTGGGGCCTCGTTGAAAAAAGAGCTTTAGACGATGAATGGCAAAAGGGATTAGCAGTAGTAAAAGCAAAATACAGACAGACAGAACAACGGAAGGTAGGATTTCTCGAAAGTCCTTCGAATCAATTCTGCGATGAATGGGCGTAGGTTCCGAAAGACGCGCGTATGAGTATATTTTCACACAGCACAAGATCTTACGCCAAAGGGTGTGCGTTACAATATTGTACAGGCATGGCTCATCGCGTGTCTGACTATACTCGACTTGTTCTACTTGTTTTGGCGAATTCATCTCTCCCCCTTCTGTATTTAAGATTTTTTCTGTTTTTTTCTTCTCTTTTCAACTCGGTGCACAATCACATCGGATGTTGTACGAATTAACATCGTAAAAGGGCTTTTTTGTCCATAAATTATCTTTTTCCGAAAAATGTATGTTTCAAGTTTTACAACGAAGATTCCCACCTGTGGGGTGTGACCGTAATGGAACTAAGTTAACTAAAAGTATTGTTCATTCGTTACGTTTTTTTATGTTATTTTAAGTTAAGTATCAATAACTTGATACTGACAAGGTACATCTTTAAAAAGCATATAAATAAATCCACACGTGAATATGTGGTTTGTAATGTGATAATGAAAAATTAAAAATTCACCGCCACTGCCACTTTTCACACCAATAAACGTGTGAAAATCTAAAACATCCCTATAATACACTCGCAAATACATATATACATAAATGTGTGAAGGGAGCAAAGCCATCGCAGAGCGGGCGAGCTGAATGAAAATACCCCTCCCCCGTTCGATACACGTATAGTTTATATACATCATACGTATGACGTGCACTAGGTCGCGCGCATACATTGTACAGTATTAGTAACTGATGTGTATGCTGTAAGTGTACGGTTGACGTTAGCTTGACCTTTCGTATACGAAAGTTGTGACGTTGGAGCGGCTAAAAAATAAAAAAATAAAGGGCACACCGAATTGTCATTAGAAGCTGTATACGATACAATATGTATTCATATTACGTGTGATGTATCCCGCATGAATACCCTTTCATTTCAAGAGTTGGTGATTTATGTTGTTGGCTTAATTTTGTAATTCATTCTTACTTAATGTTAAATTTTAGGCCAACATCTATAAAAACTAAACTAAAAATATAGTATCAACCATATGAGTTGTAAAAACTGGTTTTATTTTTCAACTTGTTTGGAAAAATTATTATTTAATTTGATTAATAATCATATCCACTGTGTCCTCGTCAAGAGGTGTCACTGACTCCAACTACTTCTTTTTCGGTAGCCTCTGTAGTTTGTTCATTATTATTATTCAATTGCCCTCGTCACTATATGGACCGTTTTTCGCTTATTGTCAATTGTAATTTGTACCCATTTGCCTCTAGGAAATTCTAAGCTTTTTTTCATGAAGGATCGATTTTCCTCGCTAAATTCGATTCGTAAGACATTGATTTATTATTAATAATTCGATTTTTGAAAAAAAAAAAAAACATTTGAGGGTAGTGAAAGATTATGCAAAAATTGCTTAAATAAATGATTTGGAAACAAACCGATAAAAAAGCAAAAATTTTGAAAATCTTCCTATAACGAAGAAAAAAAAATTAGATCATCGCCTTCTAGTAATATTTTTCTTCTCAACTTTTTTCAAAAAGTCAGCCCCAATTCCCAAACCCAATAAATTCTTTGCTTGGACAGTCGATAAGGGTGCTTTGTATAGAGCGCGCGCACGCGTGTATCACAATCGATATGGTAGGGATCACGTTTACCCATTGTAGACAGTTAATACAGGTAATACAGATTTCGGATATCGGCGGTAGTCGATACGACAGAACCTGTGTTACCGACATAGTAGGCACACATTTATATTAATTGGTTTGGTTTGTTTGGGGCCGACTTTTTGAAAAAAGTTGAGAAGAAAAATATCACTAATTTTTTTTTTCTTCGTTATGTGGCATTGCGTAATCACATTTTATATACCGTACTGATGGCGTGATGGTAGAGTTTTGTGGAATAGGAAGAATAATTTGTTTGTAAGTTCATTTCAAGTTGCATTGCAGCAAAGGTTAAACGCGTGCGGATGCGGTGGGACGTGTCTATGTGGCCGCTGCCTTATCCTCTAGCTTTTACCGAGTTGAAAACCCACAACAATTGTTGTAGTTTTTCCCTGCCATATAGCTTATTTACTTATTTACCTTGATGCCAGCCCAGCAGTTAAGTTACGTAAGTTGTGGTAACGCCTCACGAGCGGCGCTACTGTCCACTCAACACCTGGGGGCTGGGGACGTGGCTGGGGACCCTGGGGTGGTATTCCGTAACTTATTTTCACCGTGTGAGCTTATGTTGTAGCATAGGCTGATGTTGTACAGCAAACTAGTTACGGAATACCACTCCTGTAACTGATAAACTAATTAGATTGTTGGTGGGTTCCGCTTGTCATTGTCAACAACAAACTCCGAAATATCGGTTGTGTCATGGGAGCCAACACAGCAAAAAATATCGAAGTTGGTTGACATGAGACATGTCGAACCAAACTCACTAGCGCCGCGCCCGAGTGACCATACGTAAACAAAAAACAAACTATACGTAACTTAACTGCCGACAGCATTTTCGGAATACAGCCTGTAATAGTAGGAGTGAATTAAATGATTATAATTTATTCTTATTTAGTCTAATCATCGTATCATCGAATAAGACGTTGCGTTTTTATTAGCATGCAAATTAAATAGAGAAGAACCAATGGTGATAAGAAAGTCAAGGACAGCTGGGTATCTCGTAGTGCAAAAGACATAGAGATATGCAAAAGAGGCCTGGAATAAGTGATGAACAGCTTACTGGAGGTAGCTAATACGTGGTTCGGCACACTTGTCGAAGCATTCGTCACCCTTACCTCCGAAGTCGCTAATGTTATCATCTGGAGCTTGAGTTTGACTCCAAACACGAGTCTCAGTAGCAGTACGCCACCCTTGGATACAAGCACTGGTGCCGACGCTGTCGTAGAGAGTAGAGAACCCACCGTTTCCTCTACCGCGAGTCCCATCACTCCTGAGAACGTCTTGACTGACTATCCTCAGTTCATCCAAGATATCGCAGTTTATTTCGTCTTTGACGACTTCCAGTACCTGCTATTCAAGATTTTTATTGGCATACTTGTTGGTAATATTTGTCTTATTTGTTTAGTTTGGCAAATTTACGGCGAGAGAATTTCTGAGTTTTTTATGTCCGACACACCAAGTGAGTAAGAATTTTTTGTCTATTGATTGAGCTGCTCTTTATTTTAAAACTCAATGGTTTCGTTTCCTTTGCATTTTTTTAGATATTCCACCGGAAGAACTTCAAAGAAGAATTATTGAACTCGATCTGCCCAGGGTACACTCTCAGAGATACTAAACAAGACTACCTTATTTGATAAGAATAAATAGGAGATACAGTGGTAAAAAGCATGGCAGAAAAGATCAAGTCATTCTTCCAAAAGAAAATCAAGGATGAAAAATTCAAACATGCTGGAAAGGGACAAAAGTAAGTTCAATCAGATGTGTTTTGATGGCTATTGATCTTCAAAGTAACTTGGTAGATGTATTGCTCTTCGTTTAGACTCAACGAGCCCAGTAGTTCTGCACCCAGCTCATCAAAACCAGCAAATATACCAAAGAGACATGAGCCAACTGAAGAAGCTAGAGTTGCTGGTAAAGCCACCTTAGCAAGATTAGAAGGGCAGAAAACAAGTGCTCCCAAATTAAATACGTAAATAATGCATTTTAACACAAATACAAAAATGACATTGGAGAAAAAGAATCGGTAAAAATCAAATTATTTGCAGATCTTATGCAGCTATTCAAGCTCGAGTCAAAAAAGAGCTTGAACAGGAAAAACTTGCTCTTGAAAGTGAAATGGCTCTAGGTCAAGAGAAAACTACAAAACAGGAAGACCCAGAACCTCATATATTGGCTGTGAGTGGGGTTTATTATCAATGTCCAATGATATCTGATGAAGTTTTAGATAAGAAAAAATGGTTTGATAGAATCGAAGAATTTCTGACTGCACAACTGGTAGATGATGAAGCAGGACTGTCCGCCTGTCTAGTCATTCGTAGTTGTAACGATGGTATTGAGAAAATTAATACCTGTGTAGATACGCTTTGTAAGTACTTAGATAACATTAGAAATGATCCTAGTGAAGCAAAATATTGGAAAATTCGAATGTCAAATAAAATATTCCAGGTAGATAAATAAATTTAAAAATAGTACCTCATTGATAGATCATAATAATAAAAAATTTACTATTTTTAGGAGAAAGTTAAACCATTTAAGGGATCCATGGAATTGCTAAAAGCAGCTGGTTTTGTCCCAAAAGTACTAATGCACCAAGATAAGGAAGAAGATTTTTTGGTGTGGGATCCTGATAGATCAACTGTTGAGAATTTAACAACATTAATAGATGCTCTGAAGTCTTCAGAATCTGTACAGTTACAGCTAGACAGAAATGTACACGTTTTATTACCAAGTCAAGCTGCAGTTAGGAGCGAATTGCCATCTCAATTTTTCGTTTTGTCAGCAGAAGATATAAAACGGGAACAAACCGAAAAGTATAACGACAATAATCACTTTAAATCCCATACTTAAATTTTCTCCATAGTGATTTTTGTTATTACTTAATTTTTTTTACAGATCGAAGGCTGTGGAGAGAAGTCAAATGTTAATGACTCAGGCTATGAGAGAGAAATTAATGAAAGATAAAGAAAGAAAGTACAAATTTACTTTGGTAAGGATAAGGTTTCCAGATAACATTATTCTTCAAGGGACGTTTGCAGTCTCGGAAAATTACCAAGAAGTAGTACAATTTGTGCAACAACATTTATCAAATGACAAATTTCCATTCTATTTAATTACTGCGACAAGAGAAAAACTTACCGAAGCAGATTTTGAAAAATCTTTAGAAACCTTGAATCTAGTACCAGCTGTTGTTCTTACATTTTTCTGGGACACAAACTCTAACACAGAAGCTCCATCACAATATTTAAAAGAAGAAACGCTAAATCTTCTACAGTCAATGTAAATACTCTGTCGCGGGCGATTAATGATATTTACGAATTTTACCAAGTTTTGCTGTTGACAGCCAGACTTCAATGCTTAATTGTTCATAGTTGTCATGCATTTTAAAGCCTTATTTTATGAACTCACCAAATAAATTTAAAATCATTCAGTTTTAATTGTAATCGATGAAATTACAAATAATCAAGATATTTTTTTAATTGCTAAAATTAAAAGTAACATCAAAAATTATCAATTTCAGAGATTCAATGATGTCTTGACAGTCAATCATGTTTTTACCATCACATTTTACTCTCATACTTATGTAAAATATATTAATACAGTCTATGTTTTTACTGTCCATAATATGTATAAACAGAGTATTTTATTCATAATACATTTTTCATTTCTGGCATAATATGTATATGAATAAAAAAAAATACATAATAAAGTAAGTCACTTAGCAAAATCCCTCACCTAAATCTTTTTTATATGGTATCAATCTTAGAGCTGTGAGAATATTATGAAAATTCAGTGAATTTACCATCATAGCTTTCAATATCTGAATTTAATAAATGTTTGAAAAAACTTTTTAGTTGTAAATAAACATTACTAATCTTATCATTATTATTATTATTATTATTATTTGTGATAGAAAATGATCATAGCTCTGTTGCATTTATTTTTTTCGATCTTTTATGCCCTTCGTCTTGGTGGAATAGTTACTTTTGATAGTTAATTACTCTCTAGAAAAATCTAATTATGTGTGTTTAAAAAGAAATTTCAGTAATTAACGTTAATAAAAGTTAAATTTCATAGAACTGCTATATTGGTAAAAAATCGATTACTGCTCGATTAAGTAGTGTATATCGTTGCAGCTATCTAAAAATAAAATTACAGATAAGCTACCGTAGTGTAATCCAACACATAAATATCCTTGTTTTTCTAGTAAATCTTTTCCAAGAGCGCCGAGTGCCAAAACAGCAAGTTTTTTTCCTCAAATTAAAACTTGAAATGATATTTTGAGATATTCTCCACGTAAGTATGTATACGAGAAAAAATGAAACGAGCGATGTATGCTATCGACGTACGATCGATCAAGCTTAACTGAAATTGGATTTTGTTACATTACATATGTCAAACAAAATTATACATACCCAAGAAGCAGCTGACACTTGAGATATATGATTTTTCTTTAAAATTAAAATTAGATTTAACGGTAAATTTGTTAAAAATAATTAACAAATCACAGACAATTTGGAATGTTATCAATAACACATAATACCTCTATACTTATGAAATTTGGAAAAATTGTGTAATCGATCAAGGTAAACCGTTTTATCGGTTTTTCAAATCCTGTGATTCACGTAAAAATTTGCGATTACTCAGGAAGATAGATATCAATGCTTGATTTTATGAAAAACAAGTCAGACAAACGTTCGGTAAGTAACCAAAAGATAAAAGAAAAGGAAGAAAGAGATTTTAAAACTTAAATGAAAAAGACGAATATATTACACTGATTAGTTATATTATGTTTCGTATTAATTAATATAAGGATGCGTCAATAAGATGTAAATGCCAAATGGATCATTTACAAACCGAACATATTTTTTATTTGGCTGTAAAATTATAAGGATACTATTATATCGAAAAAAAATCCTAGACCACGTATCTCTTTTTTTCTTTCGATATATTGAACCCGTAAAAAAAAAGAAGATTTTATAACTAAATCAAAAATGTATTAAGATTTTGTTGAATTGCCTGTCCTGATTTGGAAAAGAACGACCCATATTCATCATTTTTTACCCTCTCTGGGGCCATAATTATAGTAATCACTTCTTCTAAGTAGTGCCATATGGTCGATTTTATTAAACTATGTAAGTAGAATATCTATACTTTTGGAGGTCGATTTTCGGAGAAAAGACAAATCCTAAGCTTACCGCTAATAGCACAGACAATGTGCAACTTTTTTTTGTATCTACAATATTAGTTGCGGCTGGTTTATATGTGATTATATGGCTCTACTGTAAGTAATTAGTAATAATAATTAATTAAATCAGCGCCTTCTAGCGTTGCGGATTTCTGAACTAAAAAGTGGCCCTAACCCTAAAATTCTGAAGGAGAGCTTTATATATTTAAGATAAATTGCAAGCTTGCCGCAAATAGAACAAACAATGTAAAATTTTTATTTTATATCTATAAGATTAGTTGCGGCTGGTTTATAATTGACTAAATGGCTCTAGGGCCTAAACTGCCTAAAGCTCTCCTTCAGAATTTTAGGAGCCACTTTTCGAGAAAAATGAAGACCGCTAGATGGCGCTGATCTACATAATTATTACTACTTTTATATAAGTGAGGAGTGAACTGGAGATGCGAGAGTGACCTCGTGGGCCTTTTTTTCTTTTTTGACTGAGTAAAGAGTTTTTATTTAGTGCTATTTTTTATTTGTGCTTCCAGGGTGGCTTAGGCCTACCCTGGTATCATCTTCACCCCAGACAGTTTAGGCTGAGGGCAATTAATCATCTCCAAAGCAAGTGCTACATAACCTCAACTGCAGTTTCATGCTCTGGTATCCACCCCCGGTAACGGGTGGTGCTGATACGATGGAAAATGACTCTGAATGGGGTCTCAGGAGCGAGGGTTTCGCTGCTGACATGCCCCCAGAGCATACTATGGATTGGAGCATACAAGAAAATAGTGATAAATCCCTTCCATTCAATAATGGTGAGAACAACAAAAAAAGGAAAAATTTTGATGCAGAAAAGCTAGACAAAAACTGCATCCAAAAGAATCCCAAAATGATCAAGGATGACAAGGAAGAATCTTTATCAGGGGTGCAAACAACTATCGACAAGAACCGAACAGTGTTTCAACTGTCCAATGAAGGACCATATGGAGTCTGGATCAAATACACCAGTACACATACCGGTAGCCCAGTACTCAACGAATACACAGTTGCAAGTATCCTATACAATAAGTACAAAAATAAGTTCACCGACATAAGTAAGAAGAACATTGGTCAAGTTGAAGTTTTGTTCGATGACAGAGAGGCAGCAAATAACCTCCTATCTGACAGTGTCCTGAAACAACATGATCTGGAAGCCTTCATTCCTATATACAGACAATCAAGAAAGGGTCTCATTAGAGGCATACCGACAGACTTGAGTGAAGACCTTATCCTAAAACATATCCAGAGTGAAACAAAAGTAATAGAAGTCAGAAGATTAAAAAGGAAAAACAAGCTGGCCAAAGAAGATAAAGATCGATGGGTGCCTAGTGAAACTATCCAGCTTTTCTTCGAAGGTCAATTCCTACCCAGCAGAGTGTTCATTTTTGGATTATCCACAAGAGTTACCCCCTACGTAAGGAATCCCATACTTTGCTATAAATGTCTACGCTATGGCCATACCAGTGCTCATTGTAAAGGTAAAGAGGCCTGCATTATGTGTAGCAAAGAAAAACACGAAGGTCAGGCATGTGTTGGAACTACTCCGTGGTGTCCACACTGCAAAGCTCCGCATAAATGTACAGATCTACAAGTTTGTAAAGAGTACAAAGATCAAAAGGCCATCCAAACCATAATGGCCTTTGACAACCTACCCTACAGTGATGCCAGACGTCAAGTCAAGAAAAGGTTTGGAGAGTTTAGACCAAACGCAAATGAATTCCCAATGCTAAGAGAAAAAGCCCTTAAAAAGATTTATGGTACAACAGAGCCTAACAAATCATACAGTAGCACGGTTAAGCAAGCTTCTGCTACCAACCTAAGCCAGGAAACGAGCCCACAATCCACAAGTTCGAATACGCCAAAGAAGAGGATTCTCACAACAACAGATCCAGGTCATTTGAACAGAGACAATAGTGCCTATAACCATAATATGGTTAACTTAAACTCTCTGAACAAATTAATGGCTAAGCCTGCTGAAAATAAAACGGCCAGCATAGACGTAGAAAAAGGTATGATTACTTCCAGTCCTTCGACAAAGTCCAATCCTGCAAGTAACTCGGCTGACGTGACGGCAATAGATGCTCTGCTCAGCTTGAGCCAACCTATCATCCCAGTCACTTCGAGCAGCCAGAATAGAATCCTCAACAAGAGTACAAGCAACGTGTACTCCAATAAGAATAAAAAAGTCAACTCTGACACCAACATGCATAAGGAAAACAAGCAAGGTGATACTAGACTCAACGACACCAAAGAAAGACTCCAAAAGAAACTCCAAGAAAAAAATAGAAGTTTAACGAACAATTTAAAACTAAATTCGCATTAATTTAAATTTTTTATTTACTAATCTTACATAAAACACTTTTATATTTACAGACGTTCTATATTACCTAAAATGTCCAGTCTAAAGATAATTCAATGGAATGCCAGAAGCATCGGCAACAAGCTTGATTTGTATCATAATGTCCTAGACTTTGATGTCGTCGTGGTTGTGGAAACATGGCTTCAACCACACGAAAAATTCAGTATAAAAGGATTTGAAACGGTCAGATTCGACAGAGATAGTGGCGAGAGAGGAGGGGGGATCGCCTTTTTTGTCAGGAGTAGCCTGATCTTTGACGTACTAGATTTGCCACTCAGTGAACCCGGATTTGAGGTCGGCGCCATTAGGGTGGACACGAGTCTGGGTCCGTTAAGTATAATTGGCTGTTATAGAAGACCAAATTCAAATAACAACCTTAGTAAAGAAAGCTGGATTGAATTATCCTCTAAAGTATCACAATTTGACTCTTTTCTTCTTGTAGGTGATTTTAACGCCCATCATGCTTTCTGGGGCAGTAAAAAGAATTGTACTAACGGTAGAACCCTTGTTGACAATATGGATTATGATAAATTTTTCTTACTTAACGATGGTAGCCATACCCACGTTACCATCTCTCAGAATGAGTGTAAATATTCAAATATCGATCTTTCTTTTATCTCACACAATTTAGCTCTCTTAACAACCTGGCTCGTGTTGGATGATACATGGGGAAGCAACCACTTCCCAATCCAGATTGAAATAAATACATCCCCTGAACACATGCCAAAAATTGACTATAGGTATAATTTAAGTAAATTAGATTGGACCAAGTTCAAAGATAAATTAGAATCCGGTAAACACATGTTCTCTTCTATTGATTTTCTTAACTGTCATATCTTAGAAAGATATGAAAGGTTCATTACCTTCATTGACTCTTGTATAGTAGAATCGTTAAATTACAATTTTAAAAAAAATGATCTGACAAAAAATCCACAAACATCTTTCAGCAACAAAAATCCCAAAAGAAAAAGAAAACCTAATGCCATTTGGTGGAATGTTGAATGTGACAAAGCTATAAGGATCAGAAAGGCCAATCTTAAATCCCTCCGATACAGATGCAATCTTCAAGATTTTATTAATCACAAGAGAATCATTGCTCTAACAAAAAAAACATTTCGAGAAGAAAAAAAAAAGTCTTTTAAAAGGTTCTGTGAATCCATCTCACATCAAACTAAAATCTCAGAAGTCTGGTCAAAGGTCAAACGCTTCAAATCAGGTTTCAATCGTCCTGATAACTCTAGTGGTAATAAGAAATTTCTAAAGGAGACAGTTACATGTCTCAATGAATTATTACAGCCAAAAAATCTAAACAAAGAGGCATTTGATTTTTCTTCTTTGGACCACACGTCAGACAACCCAACACATATTCTATCCTCTCCATTTTCATATAGTGAACTTTTGTACGTCCTAGACAACGTTAAGCTTCAGTCAGCACCAGGGGCAGATAGAATCAATTATCTAATTCTGACCAATTTACCAGAATTTTATAAGAGAGTACTCTTAGAACTTTACAACGATATTTATGACAAGGGTCTCTTCCCAGAAGAATGGTCTTGCTACCTGATTACCTTTTTACCTAAGCCAAATGGTAAAGCTAGGCCTATCTCCATGGCCTCTTGCGTCCTTAAAGTCATGGAAAAAATTGTAAATAATAGATTGGTGTGGTGGCTAGAAAGTGAAAGAATCCTTCCTGACCAACAAAACGGATTCCGAAAAGGACGCTCATGTGCAGATAACCTGACTAGACTAACGTCAGACATACAAAAATCGTTTTACCTTAAGAAAAGCACTGTAGCAGTCTTCTTGGACATAAAGGGTGCCTTCAATAACGTGATTCCGGACATTCTTCTCGACAATCTAAAGGCACTAAACTTACCTCACCGATTTATTTCTTTCATTGGCAACCTGATATACGACAGGTACTTGATTCCAGTTAACTCTAGTGTAAGAGGCAAATTCAAAACTAACATAGGTCTTCCCCAAGGTCTCTGTTCTAGCCCGATTTTGTATGCTCTATATACAGCAGGCCTCAACAAACTCATTGACAATCGAGCAACCCTCTTAAGATTCGCAGATGACGAAGTTATTTATACCTCACTAGAAAATGGAGAAACCTCTATAGCTCTTTTAAATCAAGTGATTGAAATCATCATTAAATTTTTCCTCGAGAGGGGGCTAGAACTCGCTCCAGACAAGTGTACACTGGTTGTTTTTAGCAAAAATCGGATTAAACTAGACCAATATTCACTAAAACTATCAAATAGTACTCTGTCCCCATCGGACTTTGTTAAATTCTTGGGCATGTACTTAGACAAACATTTAAACTGGCACAAACAGGTGGATTATTTAGTGACCAGAAGCTGTGCTCCTCTCAAAATCCTTGCATGTTTACGTCACACATGGTGGGGAGGTGATCCAGACGTACTTCTCATCTTATATAAATCAATGGTGAGATCCATCCTCGAATATTGTGGTTTTTTAATTTCACCATGCTCCGACAATCATTTCAATAAACTACAAAGAGTCCAAAATCAGGCTATTAGGTTGGCCATGGGCTACCGGAAAAGTACCCCGATAAGTGTTCTCACTGCAGAGTCCAAAATTCCTCTACTGAAGCATAGACTAAAATATTTAGCCCACTCATTTTTACTCAAACTTATCTCCAACAAAGAAAATACGACCCTTAAAAGTATAGAAGAACTATTTTCTGTATCGGAACATAATCTATACTCCCATAATCACCAAAAGCCCCTAATTGTAAACTGTTATGAAAACATTTGGCATCTAGAAGATCTCATTATACAAACAAGTGTATTCCTTAAATTCACTATACCTTTCTCTCTTAATTTTTTTACTTACACTTCCGATCTTACAACTGGTCAAAAAATTCGTTCTGCAGTAGATCCCAACTTAGAATTCAGCAACATATTCGACCACAATGATAACTGTAACTTCATTTTTACAGATGGTTCCAAAACAAACATTAATGAATCCCCCAAAGCTGGCTTCGGAACCTGGTCCTACGATGATAATCTAACATGCTCTTACAATATTCCTGGCGATGCCTCAATCTTTTCGGCAGAATGTTTAGGACTTTCTAAAGCTTTAGACTTTGTTATTGCCAACGGCAACAACTCATTTAAGATATTTACTGATTCACTCAGTGTACTCAAGGCCCTTAATAAACTCAAAGGCTTCAAATATGAATCTCCACTAATACTAATTCTTAAAAAGAAACTCGCAGAAGCGCAGAGTCTCGGCAGAAGATTTCAATTATTCTGGATTCCAGCTCACATAGGAATAAAAGGAAATGAGGCAGTTGATAAGGTAGCTAAATCAGCAGCAATTGAGGGACCTCCTGCAAATCTGGCGATCCCTGCCACCGATCTCAAAAGTAGATTTCGCGAACAATGTTTTAAAGAGAACGAATCCAGCTTGTTGTCCATGTTTCAAACAAAAGGCACCAATTATTTTAAGTTTTATCATAAACCTCGGTCCAAACCATGGTTTCATGGTCATTGTATTTCGCGTAAAACAATTGTATCGATAAATAGAAGTAGAAGTGATCATACCGCTCTTAACTGTGACTTACATAGATTTAATATTGTAAACTCTGATAGATGCGAATGTGACAAAGATTCCGATAACTTAGAACATATTTTTTGGCAATGTGATATATACAAAAATGAAAGGACCAAAATGTTAAATAAGTTTTATAAAATCGGTAAAAATGGTCCATTTTCCATAAAAAATTTACTAGCCAATTTAGACGAACAAACAATCCCAATACTAGCTAATTTTATCGATAGTATAGATAAAAATATTTAATTTAATACCCTCCTAAATAGCAAATAAGACATTTGGCTAAGCTTTATAAATTATTTTCTATACCAATAATATAATTATTGTAATTCAATCGATATCTTATCTCATATAACTGGATATGTATATATACTAGTGTATAATACCTAAATGGATCTCATTATGTAATATTCTCATGTATACTACCTGATCCATTTCGATAGAAATGGCTATGTAACTATAAGTTCAAAAGCCAATAAAAACTATTCAATCATCAATCATCAGNCATAGGAATAAAAGGAAATGAGGCAGTTGATAAGGTAGCTAAATCAGCAGCAATTGAGGGACCTCCTGCAAATCTGGCGATCCCTGCCACCGATCTCAAAAGTAGATTTCGCGAACAATGTTTTAAAGAGAACGAATCCAGCTTGTTGTCCATGTTTCAAACAAAAGGCACCAATTATTTTAAGTTTTATCATAAACCTCGGTCCAAACCATGGTTTCATGGTCATTGTATTTCGCGTAAAACAATTGTATCGATAAATAGAAGTAGAAGTGATCATACCGCTCTTAACTGTGACTTACATAGATTTAATATTGTAAACTCTGATAGATGCGAATGTGACAAAGATTCCGATAACTTAGAACATATTTTTTGGCAATGTGATATATACAAAAATGAAAGGACCAAAATGTTAAATAAGTTTTATAAAATCGGTAAAAATGGTCCATTTTCCATAAAAAATTTACTAGCCAATTTAGACGAGCAAACAATCTCAATACTAGCTAATTTTATCGATAGAATAGATAAAAATATTTAATTTAATACCCTCCTAAATAGCAAATAAGACATTTTGCTAAGCTTTATAAATTATTTTCTATACCAATAATATAATTATCATGATTCAATCGATATCTTATCTCATATAACTGGATATGTATATATACTAGTGTATAATACCTAAATGGATCTCATTATGTAATATTCTCATGTATACTACCTGATCCATTTCGATAGAAATGGCTATGTAACTATAAGTTCAAAAGCCAATAAAAACTATTCAATCAAAAAATCAACTACTTTTATAAATGGTTGTATATTAAATTTTATGCCAATAAAAATACACTATACTACTAAGTACTACTACTACTACTTTTATAATAGAGCCACGTAATTTGAGCGAAAGCGAGAAAGATGTATCATGCATACCATACTGGAAACTGGAAGTGCAACAAGGACATTACGGTGCTCTCTCTCTCTCTCTCGCGACTCCATCGCGGCAAGTATTTGATAAGTATATAGTGTGTGTATATACCTATAGATGTGGTATATTATATGAAAAAAATATGTATGTGCTATGTAGTACAACACGAGGAGGGGGTAAATATGGCGCTCTGTGAAATCTGCTGCAGTATTGAAACGACGGTCCCCGTGGAATGTAAAAGTCGTGGAAGAAGCTCGTCGACCTGAATAAAACGTCGTAGTTGTTCCTCATGTAATGTACTGATGGATTAATAAAAACCTCTGAAACCCCGTGGCATTCAGCGATAACAAGTACAATAAAAATAAGTCGTGCAACACCACAGAAGAAGAGAATAGGTATTCGGTGCGTGTGTGCTGTACTGCTGGTTTTTTTTTCCCCCCCATGCAGAGCGTAAAGTGATATACCCATACCCAGTGCGTGACAGAGTTCTTCATTACATCGTCGACGGGAAAGAAAGTTAATTCATCATAGTGTTTCTGCAGTGTAGAATAGAAGAAAAATAATTAAAAAAACAGGGTTAACTTAAACCAAACAGACAAACGGCTGTTGCTCCTCAGCCCAGGGCGCGTCGTGATGATAGTTGTTGACTGGTCCTCTCGCCTGCATGACGAGAGAAGCGGGCTTCAAGAGCAGCACGTTAATTGCCTACTGCTAGTAAATTAACCCTGTCTGTTGGGATCGAACATCTTCGTCGAGAACAGCAGACGAGACAATGGCTGTTAACGCCACAGTGGCTGCAAACGCGAACGCCCTGTCTAGCGACATCAGCAGGCGCAATCCCCAGGACGAGTACGAGCTCATACAGAGGATCGGCAGTGGGACCTACGGCGATGTTTACAAAGTGAGATCATCCAGAGATAATTATGATACACACCTCACTTTGTCTACACTTGCGTTGTACACTTTATATGATTTTTTTTTTTTTTCAACTACTCATTTTTTTGTAGTCTTCGGGTTATCAAATGCATGCGTAATTTCGTTCACGTGCTCTGATGTGAAGTTTTATTCATTTAAGAAGGGATAAAAAAAGAGTGCAGGAAAACGACGTACGTCCTCATCTTTGTTGTTTGTTTACGCGTGCAGTTAGCAAGAGAGGTTTAATGACACGTGATATATCAGGAAGCTGCGATATTACTCTATGTGTTGCTTGGATGGAGTTAAACGAGTCCAGTTAGCTTCGAACACGATCTGATTTTTTTTTTCTGTCTTGCAAACAAGATGTACAATTTAAGAACTGTTATTTTTTTATATTTGCATTTTTTTCTTTCTGCACTACTTTTCCCGGCAGTTCACAGTGGGAAAGTTTTAGATTTAGAGCCATTAAGAGCTGCTTTGTGCTGGTAAAGGAGGTTGGAGTCGGTTGGAGTTAATTGTTCTTGTATACTTTGTTCCCAGGCCAAGAGACTCTCCATGAATGATTTGGCTGCCATCAAGGTCATTAAACTTGAGCCTGGTAAGTGGCTTAGTAAACTTTTTTTTACCGCACAATATAACACTATTTCTTTTCTTTGTGTTTTTGTGCCGTTTAGCGATTTATTTTTAAATTCTGCATTGTTCTCTGTCTTTTTCACAGGAGATGATTTTGCTATAATACAGCAAGAAATTCTCATGATGAAGGACTGCAGGCATCCAAATATTATAGCTTATTATGGCAGTTATCTCAGAAGGGATAAATTATGGATATGCATGGAGTATTGTGGTGGTGGATCACTACAGGACATCTATCACAGTATGAGGATTTGTTTTTTTTTTTTTTTTTTAATACTCAACAAGTTTCTACAATTACCAACTTTATTTTGTGTTTCTAGTTACTGGCCCGCTGTCAGAAATCCAAATATCTTACATGTGTAGAGAAACGTTGCTTGGGCTTGCGTATCTGCATGGCATGGGCAAAATGCACAGAGATATAAAAGGTGCAAACATTTTGCTCACAGAAGCTGGTGATGTGAAACTTGCCGATTTCGGTGTGTCAGCACAAATAACAGCAACAATAAACAAAAGAAGAAGTTTTATTGGCACACCTTATTGGATGGCTCCAGAGGTACCTTATTACTTACTTTTCTGTGCTCCAAATTTTTTTCTTTCAACAGTAAATCATAGTTTTATTTTTTATATTTAGGTTGCAGCAGTTGAAAGGAAAGGAGGTTACAACCAGTTATGTGATATTTGGGCCATAGGCATAACAGCAATAGAATTAGCAGAACTGCAGCCTCCTATGTTTGATCTCCATCCAATGAGAGCGTTGTTTCTCATGTCGAAATCTGGATTTAAGCCGCCAACATTGAAAGAACGTGACAAATGGAGTCAAACGTTTCACAATTTCGTGAAAGTTGCTCTCACAAAAAATCCAAAAAAGAGGCCAACAGCTGAAAAGCTTTTGCAGGTACATATAGTTCATTTGATCTAAAAAATTATTTACTTTTTAATGTTTACTTTAAACAAAAGTACATCATATTTTGGTTTTTCAGCATGCATTTTTTCAAAGTGAAATGAGCAAACGACTTGCTTTAGAATTGCTGCAAAAGGTTTCAAATCCTAGCACTACGTACGCCGATATGGAGCCAGACGAGGATGGTGCCGTGCCAAACGTACCACAGCGCATCGCTTCGAGGCACACAGCAAAACAAAGACCAAAGAGTCCCGTTTCACAATTAGACAGCGAGGGTAGGTTTTGATTGATTAAATTTCAAGTGACGAATAAATCCCCAGTGTTAAAACATTGTACTTTTTCAGATCGGTTTAATTTAGATGAAGGAACGCTTCAGAGGGATTCAACATCACCTTCAGTTGATAATAACCCAGCGTGGGATATTATAGACATTATGAATAACGTTAAGGTCAGAAATGGTTTTTTTTTTTTTTTTTTTTTTTCAAATTTTTGTTCATGCAAGTGTCAAAGTATTGTTTGACTTGTAAACGGTTTTGTTTTTAATTTCAGACTGTTCATAACTGTGATGTGCATCCAGATTGCGGGATCGGCTCTGTTTTCGAGGATGGCCAAGAAAAGTAAGTTGATATTACGAATTTTCATTTATCTACCAAAAAAAATGCCATTGCAGAAACAGTAATGGTTTCTTTGGGAAAGGGCTGAGGCTTCTCACGTTCGACTTTAACCTTTTGCTGTAATTTATATTCGTGATATCTCGACATCTACCAAATCTTACAATCACGCTTCTATCATTCGTCACTTTTAATTGGAATTCATCAATCATACCAATCATTTGCCAACAAAATTTTGCCTTGAATCTGACAAATGATATTCTATTTGGTCTTACTGTTGATTGATCTAGTAAACGGTGTCGGTTTCAAGAAAAATCTATCTTTGTGAACTTTATAGCATTGATGCAGATAGTAAAGTCAAACACAGAAGCAAAACCGGCACGGAGATCTTTCGTATGAGCCTCAGGTAAAAACATCAATGACAGAGGAAAGTTTTAAGATGATTTTCGAAAGTTTGGAGAATTTGATAACACAAATTTGATGGTCTAATTTTGATGCAAAATTTTTACACGAAAGATTTGACTCGTGCTGTATGCTGAATACTCTATTAGTAATGCCCAAAATAACCTGAATTTTCTTTAATTTTGCACAATTCCTTATTTAATACTTTTGCATGGCAGTTTAGCATGACGATTTGTTGATTTGTTTACTTTTGTATTTTTTATTGATTTGGTAGTTACTGTAGCGTAAATTTAAGTTTGTATTTTTTATTTGTGGTATAATTTTATTTAAAAGTAAGTATTTTGTGACTTTTAGAATTGTTTTATTGTGTTTAAACTATTATAATTTTATACTTTTATTATTTACACATATTTTATTTTATTTTGATTTCTGCTCCATTAGCAGTGTTAATCATTAGTATGTAATTTGTAATTCTCATGATTTCTCCCAACAGGAGTCTATTGCAGTACATTGATGAGGAGTTGTTGCTAAGGTATTGGCAGGTAACCTTCCCCTCCCCTCCCCCCCGCACTTGCAATCGCGTCAGTCTAAGATTAACTACTGCATCACGCTTTGTTTATGTGTTACTCATTAAAGTTAATTTTCATTGTCATATTTACTTTTGTTTAAGAAAATGAATTGAATTTTTTTTCACAGCATAACATTTCACTATTTATTTTACAGTATCATAATTAGTTTATGCATGAATTTGCAATGCGTGCTTTTTTCCAAATTTTCGTCTATTTCATTTTACTGTCACAATGGAAGCTTCAGCCTTAGCATTGTTCTAATGTAATGTAAGTGTCCAAAATTTTCACTAACTGTGTGAATATTTTTTTTTTTCTGTACACTGCCCCTAATATACCAAAATTAATAATAACAAAATTGTAGTTCTTATCGAGCTTCGGTATTTGAGAAAATAATGACTAATGTTGTATCAGTACAGTATAGTTTTAACAAAAATTTATGTAAAGACTAAAAAATATTAGTAGTATACAGTAAGTCATATTAGATACATTTATAAATGAATTTTTAAAAAATCCAATAACCCAATGTTGGCGTCACTACACTTTTAACTGAATTTCTTGATGTATGAATAATCAGAAAGACATTAAGTATCAGATAGCCACTAAAAAAAAAGTATTAGAAACCTAATGCAAGAAGAATAATGTTAAGCAGCAATAGAGTAAAAATAGATACTTTCGTATGTTCAGGGGAAATGCGATTGCCGGGCATTGTGACCAGCTGTATTCGTTGCAGTAAGTAGAAAAACAATAGCGAACTCTTGATAAAATTGTATCAAACGAAGCTCGAAACGCTTTAGATACGTAGCTTTTATTTAATCGTCTTCTACCTATCCCACTCTAACATTTTTTTATTTCTCGTTTATTTTGAAAGCACATGATTTCCTAACTAATTTTAGTTTTATTTATTAAAAATACCGTTGTTTTATAATTGAAAAAAGGTAAACTTTTTCTTTTCCTTTTTACTGATATTTTATTGTCTGTTTTCAGAGCAACGCTGCCTTTAGGAGAGACGTCCAACGATTGCGAGGCACATAGAAGATTCTACGAAAATCTGTCAGGTACGGCCCATTCTCACGTAATTTATGTTTGCGCTCAAAGCTTGTAGAGTCTCTAGAGTTATCCGTGTAGCTAAGTAACTTGAAACTCATTGTCTGTACATACGTGTCTCGTTTGGTTTTTAGATTACAAATGTTAATCGGATCCCAAGTTGTTTAAAAGGGCTGTGTTTAATTTTTTTTTTTTTTTTTTTTTTTTTTCAAAAGCTTTGTTGTCTTTGTTTTCGAGCTTGTACAGTAAAAGTAAAAATAGTTGAGTGTTGTACATATGTACGTAACTAAAAAGCTCGCGGCCTTCTTTGAACTTGTCCAGTGAAGCTGTACATGTATCAATCGGGCTTGAAGTTTCATTCGGATTTTTTATTTAAACACTTTAAGTACGAAGCAAAACTCCAAAAAAGCTCTCATATCACTGGACACCAGTTTCAAGAGATAGCCTGTGCAGCTCGTATTGTGAATGAAAAGAAAAAAAAAAAAAAAAAAAGAGAATAAATGAGGTATCGCTTGCTCAAACGAGCAAGAATCGCGGAGTGTGACAGGAGAGGCACGACGTATGTATGAGAGATTTAGTCATCTCCCTCGACACTTGAGCGTGTAAAATTGGTATAAGCTGGATGCGGGTGTCGGCATGCACATGATGACGCAGGGTCGCAGACGATGAGTCCCCGGCGGTTGCACAGCAGCTCGATGGAGGAGTTGACAAGTTCCTGTGCTCGAGGTCAGATAGCTGCCGGGAATGCACCACTTGCGTCGGCCTCGACTGCCGACAGGCTGCTGCACCATGTGGCATCCGGGCAACGCCAGCGCTCGCTGTCTGACAGCACTTGCCGTCGGGATCTGGTGCCTCAGTCCAACGGTAAACCATCTCATCTGCACCCACCTGTGTGTGCTGCTGCTGCTACGAGCACTCTTACTATCATTAATTAATTGTTGTTGATGTTGGTGATACACTGCACACTTTTTGTCGCATGAGCTGTGGATATGCTTGCGTTGCTTGACTTTATTTTTTTTCGACCCATGTTTTCGTACGTGTCCAATGGTTGGATGGATATTTACGCGCGCGCCTTGTGCGTCCTAATGAGAAAATGTTTGTGTGTTTGCTGGTTGGTGTTCCCTCTGTTCATTGCCGTTGCTACAATTTTTTTTTTCTTTTCTGTTTTGCTTTTTATTCGCTTCGTTGAGCTAATATCATGTAAGCTGCTGGGCGTGGGTAGTACATATCTTTTTTTTACACGCTCACTGCGTCGTAATGCACTGGAACTATAGAGGGATCAGTTCTTGGCCGGTATTGATGATTGAGACTTATTAAATTATAAATAAACGCTTGACTAGCAAACTGGAAGTTAAAAATACTTAAACGCGTGATATTTTGTTGTTGGGTTTGGTAATTAGCTTCTCACAATTTTGTTTATTAACAGTAACCACATAGGATTTATTATCTCGTAATTTTTCGAAATTGAATAGAATAGCATCTTTGAATTTGAGAAGAATTTACGAATGAAAAAATCAAGCATGGAACCGAGAGATAGTTACAGTTCAATCAAAATACCGAATGACAAGGAAGAAGAGTTGACACACAAATAACGTAGAAATTTATGCATCAATGAATAACTTGCAGGAGAGAACGAGAGGCCGAAGAACGGTGAGGACGGCGTAGGACCAGACTTACTCTCGGACACGCCGCCAGTGCCACCGAGAAGGAGGGACAGAAAGCGACACACGCCTCCCAGGCCAATCAGCAATGGATTGCCGCCTACGCCGAAAGTTCACATGGGAGCGTGTTTCTCAAAGGTTGTTGATCTCTCCTCGCAGCCTCGTATCCTCTCTCTCTTATATTTGCGAGGGAGTGTCTCGTTTTAAAACTGTTTTTATTATGCACGATTTAGGTGTTTAACGGTTGTCCTCTGAGAATACACTGCACGGCGAGTTGGATACATCCGGAAACGAGGGACCAGCATCTCCTCATAGCGGCCGAAGAGGGGATTTACAATCTGAATTTGAACGAATTGCATGAGACGGCGATAGATCAGCTCTATCCGAGGCGAACTATTTGGATGTATGTCATCAAGGGTGTATTAATGTCGCTGTCAGGTAATTAATGATTTATTTCAGTTGGAAGCTTGAGAACGAGTATATTTAAATGCGTTGCTCATTGACAGGAAAAACGCCACAGCTGTACAGACACGACTTATTGGCTATGCAAAGCAAGCAGTCGCACAGGTTTTCGCTCCACATGAACAAAATACCAGAGAGATTAGTCCCCAGGAAATTTGCTCTTACGACTCGAGTGCCTGATACGAAAGGTTGCACCAAGTGTTGCGTGGGAAGAAATCCTTATAACGGGTACGTATAAAGACCGATTGACAAATTTTTCCACGTGAGAGATTTCCAAGTGATATTTAAATTTGTTTACGACAGATATAAATATTTGTGTGGAGCAATGCCTGCAGGAATTTTCTTGATGCAGTGGTACGACCCATTGAATAAGTTTATGTTATTGAAATATTTTGAGTGTCCACTGCCCTCGCCGTTAAACGTCTTCGAGATGATTATCACACCAGAGATCGAATATCCGATGGTGTGCGTTTCTGTTAAGCAAGCTTATCATCAAAACAAATTGAAGCTTGATCTTATCAATATGAATTTCGGAGCTAGTTGGTTTCACAGCGACGAATTAGAAGAGATGGACGGTTCTGGTAATTTTTTATTTTCAACCGATCGTTTCCTCGTGGTTCTTGTGAAATTCTCATTTATTGTCGTATTCACTTTCAGCGACAGTCATTCCACGAAGAGAAACTCTTCAAGTAGTTAGTGTAGCGCAGCTTGAAAAAGATGCCATTCTTGTTTGTTGTGACAGTGAGTTAAATTTTACATTTTGCTATTTTGATTATCATTCGATTGATCATCGATAATCTTCATGTTTGCGTTTTAGATTCGGTTAAAATAGTCACGTTGAGTGGAAAACTACGGATTAGTAAGAAACAAATATCAGAACTGCAATTCAATTTCAAAATTGAATCGATAAGTAAGTATTCAAAAAATCTTGCATAAAATTCATTGATTACTATTTGCAGTACAAAAAAAAAAAAAAAAAAAAAAAACATTTATTTCAGTTGTTTTACCGGATAGCGTTCTTGCCTTTCATAAAAACGGAATGCAAGGCCGTAGTTTCAAAAATGGTGAAATTACACAAGAGATCAGCGATCCTAGTCGGACGTACAGATTATTGGGTTCGGATAAGTATGTATACAATTCAAAAACTCATCAAACTCTGAATCGGCATATTATTGTTCTATCTCATGCAATGTTAAAAAAAATTTTAGAGTCGTTATGCTGGAGAGTCATTTAGTACATACTGGCACGTTGAACGAGAGCGAAGGCGCCGATCTCTACATCCTCGCGGGCCACGAAGCGAGTTATTAGAGAAGTTGCGTCATTAAGCTTTTTCATTTCGGTTTCCGCAAAGATTTTAAAGTTAATAAAATCTCAGCAGACTGCAATAAGTAGACTGTATTTTAAAAAAAGACAAGAAAAGTAAAAAAATTAATTACTGCTGTACGCGACAGCAGTTAGTGTAAGTATTGCCGATTTCGCGGAGCTTTGAAGTAGCGAAATCGCATCAGCAAATTAAAATACTCCATTATAAGCCGTATTCGTTAAAATACAGCTTTAAGATGATGATCGATAAGTATATATATTTGCATTCCTCGAAACTGAATTTGTTTATTTTCTTTATTCAACGACATGACGAAGCGCCGAAGTTTGAATGAATCCATGGAAAAATTTACATTATGCAATTATTGGATTAGCAAAAGTGTTACAAAAAATATGTTTTTAATCTATAGGAATGAAACTGTGAATACTGAATTTGTTGGACGATTAGGGAAATGCGAGTCATTATAAAAAAAAAGTTTTAAATGTCCAAACGGTAAAAATCTGTCTTCCCCTTTCTTGTAAAAAGATTTTAAAAACTCAACTTCATATTATTTTATTGCCTAGTACGCCGACATATCGACGAAAAGTGCAACTTTTTAAGTTTTATCACCAAGCCTTTAATTTCGCACTGAATGGTTAATAAAGGGATATAAAACAGTGGACAATAAGACAAGGTTCAACGTAACAAAGATTAGTTTTTCGGAATAGTAAGCCAGAGATATAAAGAATATAATTTTTAAATAACAATTGGTAACTTTAACAAAATATATTACCAAAAATAAATAATTAACGCATGGTAGTTCACTGCGAAATTAAAGTTTAAAGGCTTTAACAATATTTTAAAAAATAGCTCTACGACTAGATAAGTCTGTTATAGGATTGAAGAGTTGTTTAAGCCAAAAAAAATTTACGCAAGTAAAGCGATAGATGACGAAAACAATGAAAATTTAAAATTATAATAATCTATAGGTGAAGTAAATAGACTAGCACAGAGATCAAAAGTACCTGTCAGCATCGACCACAAAATACAAAAAATACAAAAAAAAAAAAAAAAGAAGTAAATACATAAAGAAAATAACGCAGGGCTCTACCTTTGCACAATCATGTACCAAATGATATTTTATTACACGGGCAAGGAGTCAAGTGCCCCCTGAACTTGGAAATAAACAGTTGAAAAAGATTTGTTATCTCGAAAACACTTGAGAGTTCTTGCCAAGTCAAATTAGAAAAAGGTATTTAATCGTAGAGGAAGCTTTTGAGTGTTTTTGAGATGACAATTGAGCTTAGACACATATGGAGACTCGTTTTTCCAAGTAGTAGAAATAAAAGTCAAGTCGTGTAGATCAGAAAAGGAAATAACTGACACAAATGTATATTTAGCAACGCTCGGATGAAGTTGAATTTCAATTCCAAAACTAAAATTACATTTCCAAAAATTATGCTATTTATAAACCTTTTAATCGTAGCTGTGTACAAATTACATTTCAATCAATTGCGTTGTTTTTCGACAATCTTATGACAAAGCCGTTAATAATCAAAGTTTCCTTGACACATATTTTTCGAGAAAGTTCAATTACAATGTAATCAGTAAAGAAAAGACAAAACAGTGGAAAAGTGTAGTGTAGTCCTCGAATTTCTGGGATATGCATGTGTCCCTTGAATCTTGAAAATTCAACGACGTAAAGTTTCCGAGCACTGGTATGTAGAAAAGAGGTATGTTACAATCTTTGTAAATGCATGAAGTCGCGAATCAACTTTTTTCGTATTTTGTCGGGAGAGAGAAAATGTTGCAATGGAAAGTGAGGATGAAAAGCAAACGGAAAACATAGAAAGTCGAGAGATTAGCAATGTACTTAGGTTTAGTGGACAGAAAATTGATAAAAGACGTCTAGACTTGCTAATAGAGATGGAAATGTTTTACGAGAATGATTCGTCAAATCAAGTAGAAGAAAAAAATAACATTGCTAGCGAAGTTGTAAATACGCTGCTTTTGGTTCTTCGGCTATCTTGTCTGTTTTTAATTTTTTAAATTATTTTTACCGTATCATATCTTTTTTCTTGTCTTTGTCATTTATTGTAAATCCCTCACGTAGTAGGTCCTTTTTTTTTACTTTGAAGAATCAAGAAAAAAAATATATTGTAATAGAAATTTATTGACTGTAGGGCAGTATTGAATCTATTTATATTATCGTGATTTATTTTATCGTATTAAAGAAAAATCGTCGCATTTTAATGAATCATATCATTTTGCTTACATGTGTAAAAGCGACTAGCTGGTGTTTCTGTACATAAAGGAACTTACGTAATAAAATTTGTTTCGTAAAAATCACTCATCTATATGGATTGGTTTTTTACCTTCTTCCAATTGTCCTCTTATCTGTAACTTTTTTTTTAATTTAGGAGGGAAATGACACAAGTGACTGTGAAATATTTTGAAAAAAAGTACATTTATTTATTGTAGTTAATTATAACTCGATACGAGCCTTTTTAATATAAATTCTTAGAAATATACATAAATCTACGTATATAAAATCAATTTGAAATCGGATGGAGATCTTGGAGGTTCGAAATCCAGTGTGCGTGTTTCAAGAAAGACTCGATTTATCATGGCAGCAAAGCCTTATGTCTCATTAACAATTCGTATAATTATAAAATACTTGTACTTTGCTTTAGGCAAGTTAGACTATAACACAGTTTTAACAATATATATATAAAAAAGACTCGAAACTCATTTACATTAAGATTAAAGCTACAGTAAAGTAGTACTAAAAAAACTGCAAAGTTTAAAAAAAATTTTGTTTATCGCACGATATTATGGCCAACTTGTCTCTTTACTTTCTTTCTCTTGCCTAAATAATTGGATGTTAACTGCATTTGTTGTTTTTCTCATATTTTTTGCACCGTTGTGAAAATGCAATGCGAATAATCAGCCTTATTTTCGGTGCACTGTCATCTCGAGTTTTGATATATGACTCTCAATGTTTTTTGAATTATTTAAATACTTGAACTATTTTAATATTTTTTTGTTCATAAATCTTTTTAGGATCATTTGGACGAATTTTTTGGTTACTTTATCGATCGTTCGCGATCTACAGACGTCAATGTATATTATAAAAGTTTTTCCAACACGTTTTGTGGAATTTTGATTAGTGAACTTTTTAACTAGTTATTTTGATTATTAATAAAAAGTTTTTTTCTTTTATCGCTAGGACAGAATTTTTTGACTTTCTTCTCGTTTCTTTTGTTTATCTGTTAACTGTCTTTTATTTTTATTAAAAAGTTTGGAACAAACATTGATGAATGATGAATAATTGAGTATGCAAAAGCGTTTATATAGTTGAATAATATATTTCCAAACGACTTTTTTAGTTTGTGATATGTTACTGTAATATTAATATTGTCAATTACAAACATCAACATTTTCTTACACAAAAGATGAAAAATATTTTTTTACAAAAAATCCTCAAATACCTCGAAAAGTGTCAAGTATAAAATTAAGCGAAACTAGTACAAATTCGTATCACAAGTTACTATTTTTATAAACAAATACACAGTCCCTCAAAACATGACTCATTGTTATCGAATAATTTAAATTTTTATAAGTTTGTTCGTTTGACCACCGTTACATCAAACAACATTGCTCAACCAACTCACAACTTTGCATAATCGCAAAAAAGGTCAGTGAAAAACGAGAACAGGTGAATCCTACTTAGAAAACTAAATCCTGTATGAAACGTTTCATTAATTTTTATCAAAAATTTGACTATAAATTAAATAACACTATTCTTGCGAGACTATGGTTAACGATTTTTCAATAACAGGACAATCACAATTCCTCAACGCTCTGTAAATAATTTAACGGAGTACTTCACATGTCAATGTAAAAAAAAAAAAAAAAAAAAAAAAAAAACCACAATCGACCATAGTAGCCCAAAAACGTGCAAATACTGCAATCGATGAAACATTTCAGACAGAAAAACTGGAGAGAAAGCAGTGTGCAGCCAAATCTCTCGGAAGAATAAAAATTATCTCGCCAAAAGGAGATCCGCACACCCATCAAGCATCAACTTGAGCCTGCAGCTGTCCAACCATCCTCTTGACCCAACCCACTTGGTTCTGACCAGCCGAGACGTCGTCGTTTTTCTTGGTATCCTCGGACTCGTTTGACTTTTCCCTGTCTGTCATCGTCGTCGCGTCTGTGCTCTTCGGCACGATCCTAGGCCCCCGGCACTTGACGATTCTCGCGTGCAGTTTTAAGTGCGCTGGCTTCTGAGTAATCGCAGGCTTCTCGCCAACAACGACAGTGTTCCGCTTGATCTTTTTTTTCGTAGGCACAGGCAATATAACTTTCGTTGAACTAACAGCCGTCACAGTCTCGTTAAGTTTGATACTGGAGTCATCGGCATCGCTAAATATTGCACTGTCTCGGAAGACTTCCTCCGACTCCGCATCCACGTAATTCTCGATAGTCTCAAAGGAGCGCTCGTAAAAGCTGTCACTCTCGTGTGCCTCTACACCCTCCTCCACGATGTCGAAAACTTCCTCCTCTTCTGCTTGCTTGGCTTCTGCTGCTGCAGCAGCCGCGGCAGCCTGGCTTTCCCTCGCTGCCAGGTTTCTGCGGCTCTCGGAGAAAAGTATCGTCGGATCTGCGTAGTCCGCCTGCGCTATCCGAGCTCCCAAGCTTGGACTGCCCTGCTTGTGATAGGGAATTGGTTCGAAACGCGACCTTGCCGAGACACAGCCCACCATCTCGTCGACGTCAGAGATGGACTTGTTCGTTTGTTGCTTGTTTTTGTTACGTTGCCTGAACGAGCGGAAGTAGCCCACGCGCTCTACTTCTTCGCTGCTGCACTCGAGCATTTCCGTGCTTCGACTCGACCTCAGACCCTGCAACCGACTGCCGGCTTTCGATAGGACGCTTCGCAAACTCGAACTCGATAAATTCGAAGTCGTTCCATTACTCGTTTCTGCAATCCATCAAATTCAATCTTAATTATAAAAAGATAAACTCCTCGTAACATCAACTACAACGTTTGAAAACGTACCTTTACTCGTTGTTCCGTTGGCTCGATAGATCTTGTGGTCCGGATGCACGTGAGTGCTCGTGGACAGCGAGGCCGGTCTCGACGACAGGGTGTCTGCGTCTGTGAAAGATGCGTCATCCAGCGAGCAGAAGAACGTGGAAGACGAGGTCGACGAACCGTGATTGGCTCCACTGCCACCGGTAATCGGAAACTTGGCTATCCTCGCGGAACCCTGGCAACTCGAGGCGTAACGCTCCATGTCCTCGAGATTGATCTCGGCTGGCTTGTCCGAGGCGATGGTGAACGGTCGCTCGGTCATCGACTTGCCGTCGCGCTGCAAAAACCTCGACTTGGACAGCTGGCTCGCATCCGTGGGATTCATCATTTGGAAGCTACGCGGCAGCGAGCCGCACTTTTGTGGCTGGTCGGGCAAACCTTCGCAGAGTTTGGTAAGCCACACTGCCGTCTTCGTTGGGCAGTCGTGTACGTTTCTGTCGTCGGTTTCCAGACAGCCGTCCCACGTGTGCTGCAAGTCACCGTAGTTACCTGTTGAAAAATAATGAAATCATCAGTTAATACACGTCAGGAATGAATCGAACACTTCAGCTCAAACGTTAACCCTACCTTTACTGTTCTTATCCTCCGCAGGCTCCTCATTCTTCTTTACGATCGTAGGCGTCTCATAAATGGGCTCCTCTTTCTCCGAGTCGCAATTTTCGCGTAGGCGCAGGGCCGTCTTAATAACTTTGCTCTCAGTTACGATATTTGGTTTTTTCATATTTTCAGGCGGCGATCGTCTCTCGTTAGCCGTGCACCGAGTCGAGGTTCTCGTCGTCGGGCTCGAGTGTTGGTGCTGATGGTGCGCGTGAAGAAGCAAAGATTCGACATCGAGATTACGGAAACTATCGTATTGCGAACGAAAGCTACGCTGGTTGTACGCATTAACCGCTCGAACGAAGCACTGTTCGCGTCGTGAAAATCGGGGACGCGATCGACCGGCATCGACGCCGTTCTTTCCGTCGTTGTCGCTGTCGTCCTCCTCCGAGCTCTCGATCGACGCAGCAGCTGACTTGGTGAATCTCTGATTGTGCTTGAGAGCGCCGTTGTGCGAGCAGATTTTGTTGCGCTGTTTCTCCAGGCGTTGCTGTAATTCCTGGCTCATGAGGATATTGCTGACGATCTCCTCGACGCTTCGCTGCTGCACCTCGAGCTTGTCTTTGCAGTCGCCGTTCTCGTGGCAACCGTTCTCTTTGGTTCTCGTTGGCTCGACGGCCTCCTCGGACTCGGTTTGCGTCTCGCTGTCCTTGCTCGTGAGCTCTTGAGTTGGGGTAGCGCTCCCGTTGAGGCTGTCGGTTGCGTTTTCCTCGGGATCCGACGCGTGCAAGTCTATGTAGGACTGAAAACCTGGCTCGGATTTCCTTCGCCAATTCGTGAAGCGATCCTGTAGAATCGCAAATTTCTTTATTTTCGTTCCCGCTGAAATATTTATTTTTCAAAGTTGTACCGACCTTTATTTTTGACCCACGAACTTCAGAGCTTCGATTGAGATTTTCGTCCTTCGAGTAGTAGTGACTGGGTTCGCCCGGTTGATTCTTTCGAGGACACATTGGCGAATTCTTGAAAAAATAATTCGCACGTTTAAATAAAAGTATAACATTTATTGATAAATTTGAAGAAACAAACGTCCAAGTACCTCTGCCGTGGAGACATCGCTCTTTCTGCCCTTCTTCAGTCTTTGCTTGAGCCCAGTTTCCGACCTTCGCCTTTCTCTGGCTGACTTTCTACCGTGATAGTCCGAATCTATCGCGTAACTTTGTTCTGGGGTAGAAAAAAAAAAAAAAAAAAAAACAACAGTTGGAAATTATTTTTTTCTAAACTCACTACACCAGCAAGAGCGAAATTTGTAGAAATTTACCTTCCGACTTGTTTTGGCCAATTTGAAGCACAAGCTGACGCGCGTGCGTAGGTATCACCGCGTTGTAATTTTCCAAAATCACCCTCTTTATTTGCAGCGTCCACTCGCGTTTCTGCTCGAGATTTCGGGCCTGCAGCTTGTACTGGATTTGCGAATTGTCGAAGGGTATCACGTGAAAGCAGAGCGGCTCCCCGGGAATACTCTCCATTAACGTTAAATTTGAACACTAAGAAGAAACGTGAGAAATTTAAAATTGATGTAATCAATGACACGTATAATTAGCCAAATAAACAAACAATCACCAATATATGAGCCTTGTAGACGAGCAGGCCGTCCTCTCGCTTCTTGGTGAGCAACAGCATCCGATCAAAGAGAAAAGCGTGCCTGGGTGCCTTGGCGCCCCTCATCCTGAAGCTACCCTCGGCTATGAGCTCGCCACCCGTAGTGAGGTCAGGTCCCGGCCAGCCGTACAAGAGCGACTGGATCTCCTGGACGCGCACCGCGTGCTCGTGCTTGCGCTTCATCTCGTTGATGTGCGTGGCTATGCCTGCCATTGCCTTAAGAGCGCCCTCGATCGCCGCCTTGCCCTCCTCGGCACTGCTGTCGTCCGCGACGGCGTGCGCCTCAAACTCCTTCGACAGGTTCTATGGAAAAGGGAGGGATTGTAGTTATGGTGAGAGAAAAAAAAAAAAAAAAAAAAAAAAGAACCGAATGGCAAGATTGTTAGATCGCTCACCTGGAGGAGCAGGTGGTACTTGAGAATCCGTTGGACCGGCTTCAGGAGGAACGAGCCCAGCGGGAGATCGTGACCGAGGGCCGCCTGACGCTCCCTAAAAGCCCTGGCGGTCTCCTCTTGGCCCATCAGGTTCGTCAATATCGAGACGGTCCTTCGAATCAATATACCGATGAACCACACGTATCGAGTATGCAAAAAACAATAATTATAAAACTAAAAGCCGGCGTTCTCACCTCGGGTAATTCGTGCAGTACTCCGTGTAGACTTCGAAGCCGGCATTGTGCTCGATGAACGTATTGGCCACCCTGATCGGATCCAATCCGTTATTGTCCAACGCTGACAAAAAATTACTACAAAAAAAAAAANTTACTCATAATTATTTTTATAATAAAAACGATGAAGAAAATAATAAAGTTGATAAAAAAAATTACACACCCGCAAAAGAGACTGCTCAAGTAAAAAGAAGTAAAGAAAGATGAGTCAACGTACCGATTGAACTCGAAAATGTCCTCTATGTTGCTGAACAAGCCGCCAAGCTCGCAGTCCCTGATCAACGAGCTGGGATCTTCCCTCCAGCAAACCAAGTAGCCCTGCCGAACGAAGAAAAACAGAAAAATGTACCAACCGTATCAACTAAAGAGAACTCGAAAGAGAAAAAGAAAAGAGAGGGCAAACACACTCGTGGTCGCGAAACCGCGCGATCTATATGGATTTCCGGCTGATCGATCAAAGCAGTCTATCGATTCGCCTCATTACACGATCATAACGATCCATCTCCCTCCCGCTCGTGACGTTGCTTTTCCCTCGACACCTCGGCAAAAATCGGCCAAAACGACGACGGCCCTCCTCCTCCATCTTGGTCGTCTTATACGCACAAACGAGTCCGAGAAAGTCCCCCCACCTCCCTGCCATACTCGTATAGCGCGAAATAAAAGCAAGAGCTCCATGAGAAATCGAGCGCGCGATCCATCGATCCTCCTCCTAATAGACGACGAGAGTAACAAAAAGAAAAGTCCCCGCGACGAGAAAACCGGCTCCTCGGGAAAACTCGTCTCGCACACCGCTGCAGCTCTCAATACATGTGTATATGATGAAAGTATATGGTATATATGAGCTCCGAGGGGAGAAAAAAGGGTGGTTGATACCGACCTGAATGACTTGTCGTAGATGCTCGACGTAAACGGCCTCGGTGTCGACTATCTCGAGGAGGACCCTCTCCACGGGGGTCCTGTGGGGGTCGCAGTACCGCGGCCTCCTCTCGTCGAAGTAACGAGCCGCCGTCGCCTTGTCCACGTCCGACAGGCGGATCTTACCGCCCGGCCGGTTGCCGCCGACTCCGTTGCCGATGACGCTGCTGCAGCCACCGCCGCCGCTCGACTCGGATATCGTCACCACCCCGCTGTCACCCGAACCTGACGTTGCCAAACCATCACCATCATCATCATTATTACCGTCATATATTTTTGTTTATCTTCGTCAACACGCTTTATTACTTGTTTACACAATAGGAATTCCCTGCATAATAATAATAATGACTGTTGGTATTATATTGCACACAAAACAAGTCACGGCATTTCATTTGCTCTGCCATTTTTGTATTTTATACCCATGAATCGCCATGAATGATTTTATGTCGTATAGGTATAGACTTGCGGGGCGCATCAAAGACCGTTTTAATAAAATGTTGAAATCGGTTCGGAGATATCGAGTCTTTTGTGTGATTTTAATCGACGCGAGCGATCGTTGAGGGAGGCGAGGTCACTTTTGTTACAAGATAGCCCAACAAACGCGGGGGTTGAAACAAAGTTACGGCGCGTTGATGTTATTACAAGCGCGCCAAGAGAGAGAGAGAGAGTTTGCACGCTAATCGATTGCGGTGCAGTTTATAAGCCCGTGAAAAAACGAGCCTCGCGCAAATTCCCACTCCATAAGATACTTATACCTTGTACACGTATGCACGCGTTATACTTGCACTCTCTCTCTCTCTCTTAAAAATTTTTGCGTCTCGTTCGATCGCGCTATACTTACGTGCTCGCGGTATGAATCTCTCTCTCACGCGCCAGCATAGGCGCTGCAGGTATATACCTTGTACACCCGAGGGAAATCACATTATCGCGGCCGCGCGCGCAAATTATGTAAGAGCGCACACCACCAAGTGCGGGGGAAGCAAGGAGAGATAAGAGGAGCGCGAGACGCGTGCGACCAATTAGTTCAACACACACAGGGGGTAGGGGGTTGGGAGAGGCGATGAGGATTCGGGGACCGGTGTGAGGCTACGCGGGATCAAATACCCATACTTACGCGCGTGTAAACGTGCCAAATTGATGAGGATGGAAATCGAAATCGTGAATAATGGGCGTACATACACTGCCGTCCGATTTCCATCCCAATAATCGTAAGTATAATCCGCGCAAGAGGGGGTTACCGTATATGAAATTTCATGCGGGCACGTGATTAGACACGGGAAATTTCTCCGAGGCGCGCGCGTTTCGTGTTTACACGATAGTTATACTGTGGTGCACGTTGCCGCGAAATTTTCCTTGTACCAGTGCCCACTTATCTGTTTGTTATACTTGCAAAAAAAAAACAGTATCGATTATTTGGGTTGTTAATACAGAGTTTCGCAGGAATCGGCACGACCGCGAGAGTGAAAGTAAACGGGAGGACGAGCACGTGCGCGCGTGTATATTTAATGAACTGTAATGCGCGAACTTGACAATTTTATGGATGTACCCACGTGGCTTCGTCCGTGGCGGCTGTGCACCGATTTTTACCTTACGCAATCGGTACACACCGCATGGATACCGTGGCGAAACACCGAAGGGGGATCAACTTGAGATGTTTTCTTTTTTTTTTTTTTTTTTCCTTAACGATCACGTCCGCGCGTGGTGTTACGAAAATTTTACTTTACACGCGAAGACTATAATCATCATCATCGCGAGGTGAGAATTCAAATACACTTTTTGTCGCCTTTACGTAACCGATCTTTCTTTCTTTCTTTCTTCCTTTTTTTTTTTATTTTATTTTTTAATATCGTCGGTATTTGTTTGGCCATGTGAATTTCAAAACATTCATCCAAATTACAGGTTTAGTCGCATTCTCGCGTCTATGGGTATACAGTAAATATACAGCTTACTGAAATACACCTCGGTCAACAACCATCGATCGCACAATATCCCCGTCTATACATATATATATATCCAAAGTCTCTTCACACCGATTGATCTGCGTCCCTCAATTTCGTTAGAAAACACACCCACAAAAAATTAAGCTCGCGTGCTCGTTACGAGCGAGTCCTCATGAATATATACACCGTGTGTATCCATCGTGTATACGTACATGATAAAAGTATAAGCGAGCCTTCCTTCTTCGACTTACCTTGAGAACTGGCGCAAGTGTCGGCGAGCGACTCGACCGAGGCCAAATATGGATTCGTCGCGTGGTGGTGATGGCCACCCGGGCCGTCTTGGTTGCTACATCCGCTCGACGAGGTGCTCGAGGCTATCGAGCTTCCCGACACCGGCCTACTGCCCGGCTGCTGATTTTGCTGCGATCGACACCAGCGACCGACGTACCTAAGGTTCGATTCAATAACACATGATTACATACACCTACACGAGCACATTATGATTGGCCGAGTTTCGCTCCACGTGTATATATGTATAATAATGTGTAACGCCGATGTGATTGAGGGAAAGTCGAGCTTCGTAGCGCGGGTGAACGAAAACGAGCCGCTCTGATCGGTAATTGCGCGGGTTACGCATCGAGATCGCCCTCCGATCGTTATACATATTATACTTTTTTTTTTTTTTTTTTTTTTTGCGGTAAATGTGTTTTACGTGTACCTATACATACTGCTCTTTTACGTTCACGCGAAACGAAACAGTATAGTACTCGTATATTATTGCAAGGACGACGCGCATATACATGAATCGTGGCGTGCATATGGAATTTGAAAAATTTCCGGGAGGAAAGAAATGGTCGATCTTTGGGGTGAGCGTGCACGCATCACGCAGATTCCTTGGGATTAACGGTGCTGAGAGAAGGATGTATAATATAATATATATACTCATGAGTAATACTTGGTAAGTATAAGCAAAGCCGAGACAAGAGGGGCGCCAAAGGTATGCGCGCGCGCGTGCACTAATGTACCTACCCGAGAGTGTAGGTATTATATGTATATACATCACTGTAATCTATGAAGGTTGAAAATTCCACGCGCGTCAAAAGTTACGTTTGTACGTGTGCCTCCGGATCCATCCGTACTCGAAAGAATGCACACGCACGAGCCGATCGAACATTGCGCGCGGAGTGAAAATTCTTCGCCAGTGAATCACCGTCTCTTTTCATTTTTATTCCTCGCTATCGTTGACAACAAACGCGATAGACTTTTATCAACAGTTTGCACGTAATTTGCTTTGTACACCCTCGATGTTGTAAGTGTTACTCATAAATTGTGGAGGAGTGTACCGAAACGACCATGAAAGGGAAAAAGAAAAAAAAAAAAAAAAGGTTTCTCGCGAGCAATCAGGACTAATTCCATTAAAATAACACTACTTATCACGAGAGCAACACTCTATCCAACGAAATTACAGAGCAAAGCACGAAACTCTCTCTCCGTCGAATCGGCAGCGGCGGCCACCATCGCGTACATTTGTATATGTAATATGTATGTGGGAAACCCGCGAAAAAACAAGCCGTGTGTACTATAATGTATTATGTATGGGTATAGTTGCGCGCCCGAAATTGCCGAGAAAGCCCGGCAGAGTAAGCAGAGCTGCACGTTCAAGGCCCCCCGCAATTACGGTGTATATATACACGTCACATCACGGCGCGCAACAACACAACCGAGTGTATACAACGTATATACGTGTATGTATACGTCATTGGAGGAGGGCCCCCATAAAGAGCGTAGAGAGAGAGAGAGAGAGAGAGAGAGAGAGAGAGTCAAGAGGAGGAGCGAGTTAGAGAGGAGAAGCGAAAAAGAGGAACGTGGGAGTCTCTCGCACCTCTTTTTTTTTTCCTTTTCATTCCGGATGCTGCGGGAAGACGCCTCCGCGAATTAAATCGGGTTTTCTCTCTTGCCCCGCGCGAGTTGCGACCGGGAGTGGTTTCTCTCCGGACAAACGAAAACGAGCGCGTCGGGTGTAAATACGTACATACCTGGGCATCAGAGCACGTTAATACGAATTGTGTGTTGGGGGGTAAACTTGTACATAACGTAAAAAAAAAAAGAAAAAAAAAGATACACCAAATAATATTGTTTTTGTATCTCGCGGAAAGTGAAATTTTCACCGCTTTTGCTTGGGAGAGGTCAAAAAGAATAGTTTTTGTCACGTATGTATAGGTACAAATAAGTAACGAAAAATGTGTGCAAACTCTCACCTGAGCGGCGTTGGCGAGCCATGCTGGTTCCTTCCGAGCCTCGGGCTGGATTTGTCCTCGACGAGGATGGTCGGCGATGACTCGGAGCAGCACGAGGACGAGGATAACTCGTTGGCGCCAAAGTTCGGCTCGTCCCGGTGAGTGACGACGTCTTCGGGCGCCGGTGCCATGTCGAGGTACGACGTCGAGACGATTCGCGATCTTCGCTGCTGTTGTTTCTGGTGGACGAGGCTCAGTTGTTTCTTGAGATCGGCCGAGCTGTACAGCGCATGGCGATGCAGATCCCGCGGTGTCGGGCTCGAGCAATTCTTGTCAACGCCGGCTCGCGCTATCTCGTCGAACATCCCCAGCAGCTGCGGCACGAGGTCCGTCGTCGTACCTGATGCCCACGGACAAACAACATTCATTTATTGCTCCTCCATACGGAAAGTCACTTTTTTGTTTCAACACTGATGTGCTTTCAAATTCTTAGGGGAATTATTATCATTATTGCCTGAGAAAATATTTTTCAGTGGGGGTGTAATTTTGCATAATCACACGAATGTACGCGTATATAAATGGGAAAGGCATTAACGCGTGAGTAGCTCCTTAATACGGATAAACGATCATTACTCACGATACGCAGATATTTACAAGCTACACAAATAAATCGGTTGAATGTACATACCAATGTGTACCAAGGGTTTGATTAACGGCCTTCTTCCTCCTCTCGCGCACAATCGGAGTTGATTTTGCAAAACTACCGCGCGTTACGGCAGCTCCGAATGCGAAATACCTAAATTACCGCTCGAGAAAAACTGGTAAGTCAGCGTGTACTCGTTAAAGGGGAGAAAACTACATACCGCTGAGCAATGCGTTCTTTTTTTATTAGAAATATATCTCGGCGTGTTAAGCTCCTCATCGACCGACAAACAGATATGTTGCATATATATATATATATATATATATATATATATACACATTGCTACGCTTACTACTAAAAATTAAGACACATTAACTAACAAAATGAAACTAAGCTTTATGAGTATAAGTGAACAGAATTAATTAGCTTGAGGTTACAATCACGAATAAACAACTTTTTTTTTAATCAACAACACCTAGCAACGTATAGCAACATTTTCGATAGCGCGGCAACTCATTTGTTTTAGTACTTTTTTTGAACCGTTTTCTAAACAATATCCTCTTCTCTTTCATATTGTTGTCCTAACAGTCACAAAACTAAGCACCATATATAAAACTTTCAGCTATTACTTTTATCTTCTTCTGTTGTAGCTACAGGATATTAATACGACTCCAGAATGTAGAGTGACACTACAGGACTTTTTTTCCATGTTACCAAAAACATTCTATCTAGCTGTGAATCCTACTCNTATATATATATATACGCGCGCGCGCAGGGACCTTGTGCCGATTTATATACACGTATTTTGCAGCCGCAATTAGTTGATACATAGGCTCTGGGCTTTTCAAGCGCACCGTGTATCTTATCGACTCGGCATCGACGCGAATTACTTTCCAGACGCGCGTCTGGCACCTGTTTTTTCTCTCTCTCTCTCTCCGCTCATTGGTCAGTTTTGCCAATGAAATTAATTACATTATTTAGGCATGGAAAGTGCCGAAGCGGCGCGACACGAAACTCTCGCGTGCAAACAACCCGGGTCCCGTTATATATACTTTACATAAGCCGACTGATTATATATGCTCATACGCGGCGCGTGCACATTATACGTACCAAATCCATCGATTCTTATTACGTAAAACGGCGCGCGCGGAAAAGCTAACGGCGGTGCAAAGCGCGAACATACACTGCGAGATGTGTGTTTTTTGTTGTTTTTTTTTTCCACGCTGCCGGCTGGCGCCGAGGAAATCAATCGCTCGCCCGATCCTTCTGATCTTTTATATAAATAGGCGCCTTGTACACCTCTTGCACGCGCTCGCCTTCGGAGCAATACTTTTCGCGATCCGACACCATATGTATATGCGTGTGTGCGGGGAGGAGTCATCGCGAACTTGGGGATTGTAGTAAAGCGCGCATTGAAAACCAAATCGTCCCTCCCTCTCTTGTGCACGAGTTTGCTCGCGATCGGACGAATAATCAATACGCGCGCATATCTTATTATAAGAAGAGCGAGACTTTAAGTATACTCGCGTTCAAGATATTATACCCGGAGATGTAAATTTATGGTCTTGTCGGTTGCGTTGCGCAACAACAGCTGGAGTCGTGGAAACAAAAAAAAAAAAAAAAGGAAAAAAAGCTCATTTTTGGGTGTATACTTGTGTAGTGGAGAAAAAATAAAATCCCTACCTACGGCGACGTATCCTCCGACCGGCGATGCTCAAAGCACCGGGGGTGAAAAAAAGGTTGTCCCATCGGAGCTATATGTAGGCTGTGACCAAATTGATGTACCGCATCGCATATAAAACAAAACCACACGCGTATAGGTATATATTCGATTAGATATGGGAGTTTCGGCATCGAGTCTCCTTCCCTCGCGCGAGTAAACTAAGTGGGCAAGCCAGCGTCTTTCCCTCCGAAAGGCACGTTGTAGGTATACACGGATAAACTCGCGCGCGCGCGCCCCAAGAGAGAGAGAGAGAGATCTATATTTACGCGAGCTGCATTCGGGAAAATCCACCGCACAAAAATATACCACTCGCGGCCTGAAATCTCATAGGTGCACCTATACAGAGACCCGATACACCAAAGACGCGGCTGCAGTGCCATATTTTGTCATATTAATAGGCTCTCGTCAAGCGTACACATTATATTTGTACAAAACGGGTGATCGCTTGGGTTTGTTTCCCCCCCCCCTTTTCAAAAGAGCCGAGGGGTGTCGATTAGAGAGGCGCGCTTTTTACTAAGTACAGGGAGATTTATATTTCCGAGAGACAGAGAGAAGCGCTCGTGTCACGGGAGGGAGGGATACCTTTATTATCTTTTTTATTTATAAAACTTCGGGTGCTTCCCCTCTCCTTTCTCATATACGTAAGTATATATTACGTGGTGGACGCACCCACCGATTACTTAAGCACCTCGACTCAGTGATAGATCGGGGGTTTTTTTTTACACGCGCGAGATGATGTAATTGAGATGGTGCTGTAAGCTCTTCTTTTTTTTCCCATTATTTTATATATTATTTCCTCCGATGCGGTGTGAAAACCAAACATAAGTAGCCACGAAAATGTATGGGTCTACCGAAAGATGTGAATCTCCAAAAGTTGAAATATAATATGGAATACCATTCGTCAATGGTTATACTGGTACATGACCGTAAATACACGTATGTAGGCTTCGATGGTTGAAAGTTTTTATTTCTCACAAAAATCCAACCTCGAAACAAGAGAGAGAGAGAGAGAGAGAGAAGTAAGAAAACAACAAGCTTTCCCCATCACACGTATGCACACACCCAATCATGTATTATATATAATTATACCTGTACCAACTAAACACAGATTCCTATATGTAGCCGTACATGTACAAGCAAACATTAAAAAAAAAAAAAAAACAAAAAAAAAAAATCTAGTCCCAACCAACATAGTATATAAGGGGAGGCTATCGTATAATATATCTTCCCCTCCCTCATTACACGGCAATTCCAACAAATGAGAAAGAAACACTCTCTCGCTCGATTAAACGATCTGTGCTCTTTCGGCGCCGCCCTGCTTTTATACACACGACTGCAGTGGTCACACAGAGAAACTTTCTACGGATAGTATAGTATAACACCGACACTGCCTAAGTATATAAATATATATATACATACCACCGAATATAATAATAATAATAATAATAATAATAAAATTCACTACAAGGCTGTATACGTACAAATATATGCACATGTACAATATATTATCTTCCCACAAGTTCGGCCGCGTTCACTCACGCACAAAGTTTTCTATTTCCACGGGTATTAATAATATTAAAAGGCGCAAGCACATAATATCCGAGATATTATTAGATGATATAGACTGTGGACGTGAAGTAAATAATTATATTGGCGGTAGATTTCTCGCGTCCTCGATAAAAAGTAGGGTACAATCCTTGGCGCAGATATAGGTATGTATGTAACCCACTCAAACTCATATCGCGTTTAACTTGTAAGTAAAAATAGGATGAGACAAATTACGTGTCAAAGGATCGACGGATGCGCGCGTGCGTAATAATAAATAAAAAAAAAAACCAAAAAATTTATGCGGGAGGCGGATGTTTGTATTACACAGAGATTCTTCTTCTTCTTCTTCTCTTTTATGTAAGCCCGGATATGGACGTATGTACAGAGCGAGTTTTTTTGCAACCATCAGCCAACACGTGTGAGCTGCTTGGCATCAGTATATATATGCGGATGTGAGCACGCGAGTTTTTCTCAGCTACTCTAATCTGTATATCTCGAGAGTGTGTATATAGAGCCTTTTTTGGTCGGTTTCATCAACTATACCTACATATATATACGTGCCAGAGGTTGCTCTTTGATTTTGCCAAATGATGGAAGTTTGATTGTTGATTTTGGGTGCAGTACCCTGTGTCCCGGTGCTGACGCAAGATACATCGAGAGGTGATGGAATTTTCGGGCTACCCGGGGCTGTCGTTTTTTTATTTTTCGCTGTACTGCGTATTTCCAAAATACTTAACAATAATATGAACGGTACGGTCGTTTCTTCTCATTTTTAAATTTCATTTCTTATTTACAAAACAAATGGTGGTATATTTCTTCGAAAAGAGACGTCTATAAACAATTATTTGCTACAATCGTCAGAGTAGATGTACCTATACTTAAAAAAAAACAAAAAAAAACAAAGCGACGTATTTTTACACTCGCGCACTCATGCAGGGATATATTATGATGCATATACTTTTCGCGTGTATATTTACGTCAGATACTCGAAATGCCACGGATTTTTCCGTGACGTGTCACGGCACTGATACACTGCATCTATCTAACAAATTCTCGAACATAACAAGGATACACCGTAACTACATACTATACAATACCTAAAACGGTTTCACAATGACTTTGGAATTCACTTATAATATACGCTATGTAACAATATATACCTCTATTGAATCGTGTCATTTGACATTTTTAGAATTTTATAAGGACATAGTCGAACGATCGGCGATCAATCTCTCTCTTTCGTATATCCACGTGTTTGGATGAAAAGAAAAAAAAAAATTAAAAATATACCCAGTCGTCGGTTACGCCCGTAAATGTAAGGAGACAAATTAGAGCACGCGATTGACGTATTCAAAGGCAAGCGATAAGTCATCATCAAGACATTTATTGTACGTATATACCGTATAAAAAAGGACTATGGGCCAATCCCAGAAGCATGTATGCACGCGTTATCACAACCGAGTGAAAAAAAAAAAAAAAAAAAATT